CCACAAAAACTACGTATTTCTTGCTGTATCATTCATTCTATTTCTGGACACAAGAGCAAGAGGAAAAAGGGTATCTGCTATCAGTGTGTCTGTTCAAGGCAAACAAGGGATCTTGATACAATTACATGGAAATATACTTCCAAATTACTAGTTGTCACTGTCCATCACTTTGTGGTTTTGTTGTTGCTGTTTTTTATTCTGGTTTGGTTGGTTGAGTTTGGGGTTTTTTGTTCATTTACAAAGTATCAAATGACAATTTGTACTAGCTCACTGCAAGCAACACAATTGGTGCTAGCTCACTGTAAGCAACATAATTAAAATACCCCAGCCTATTTTAAAATATTCGTCTGTTCCATAGCTAGAGCTTTGCATTTCAAAAGTAATTGGAAAAGACAGAAAAAGTATAGAAAATAAGATATATAAGAATTGATTGCAGATGTATTTTGCCATGACTAAGACCTATCTTGGTCTATACTCTAATTACAGAATTATTGAGAAGTGACAACTTATTAGAAATTCTAAGAATTAGGGTTCAGGAAAATTATTCTTCTCAAAGATGTAATTATTGGCTCAAAGTCCCAGCAGTTATAAACATCAATGGAAAAAAATAAACAAATAAGAACGAGTTGGATACTGCTAGTCTTAACAGAATCAGACCTCCTGGAATTACGGAATTAACCTTATCTTTAATCTTAGGAATTCTCAGCCAGTAAAGGATTCTTCTTTCTCCAAACTGAAATTTTCTGTTATTCAAGAAGTCTACAATGAAATCCCTTTGCTATCATGCATAAAGCCTAGCAGACTACCCAGCTTTTCCAAATTACTGATCTTTTTCTGGTGGTTTACATTCAGAACATCTTCTGAAAGAAATCACAGATGATTTTGATACCAACTCCTGTGACTCCTTCAAGGCACTTTGTGCTTTTCTGCTCATGCTTTTCTTTTTCATCATTGGCTAAAGTTTATTTTTCTACTTTATCAATCAACACTATACAAGTAAATTTATAGTCCTTAATTTCAGTTTATTAAACTAGATCACAGAGTCATATAAATAGATGCATTTTACTCACAGGCATTTATTTTTTCCTTCCAAATTACTGCTTAATAAGAAGTTAAGATAGAATACAGACATTTACTTGGTTGCTATGATATCAAATGTAAATAAAAGCAGATTAAAGCGCGCTTCCTCAAAGCCAATTTACAGCTATTATTAGCTACAGTATAATGAATGGTACTACAAAGGGATGATTCTGAGAAATGAAAAGCATTTCTGGCATTATTTGGTAACATCAAGAGAACTACGAAAACATTTATTCTTGAGTGAAGTTACCAATGACGGCTATGCTGTTGAGGGCACTCCATCAATCCTCAAATTGTAACATTAATATCAACAGAAATGTATTCCACTTGGAGTATGTTAAACAAAAAGAAAGTATTAATAGCTGAATGATCAGACAACTGAGTAATCAGTCAATCCAAACACCTTGCAGTCATTCCACCAAAGCTATCATGTGTGATGTGAACCCTTCAACCCTCTAAATTAGCTTGGATGAATTCTCTGCCTTCCCAAAAGGATTTTCTACTGTTAACATACTATCAATCTATCACAAACTCAGCATTTTTCAAGTTTCATTCAGATGACTCAGCTTAGCAAAACGACTGAAAAACAACCCTTAAAATGTTCCTTGATATTTTCAGGTTTTTTAGTAATTCAAATTGCTGTCACTGCCTGTTTTAAGTTAATTCCTGAATATTACAGAACAGCTTTATATGCATAATAAAACCTCTGACAAACCATCAATATTCTTACATTGATCACAGGTTCTTCTGTCACCAAAACAACTCTGCCATATTCTGTCAGACATTTTGACAGCTGATGAAGCCAACCCAGGATTCTAAGCAGATACACTATTTAAAGTACAGTTTGCATGGAACTGCAACACTATGATCAGAAATACTAACAATATATACTTCTATATTTTGAATGTGGACTACTGCAATAGTTTAAAAAAAAAAAAAAAAAAGTACATTGGAACAAATCTACAGATAAGTTCCTTGACAGAATAGCTCCTTATTTAACTCACTGGACAAAAGCAGCGATCTGAGAGATCTCATGCAAGTTCTTATGTTTTACTTCCCAGACCCTGCGATATTCATGAAAGAATCACTAAAAACAGTGGATGCCCACAAATTTCCAGTACTAAACAAGAGAAATCCTTTCAGTCAGCTTAATTTAAGAATTGCTTAATTAGAAATTAGAAATTTACTCCAGGAAATAAAATACATCATGCCTAAAAACAGGTATTCCTAGAATATGCATTAAAGTGTTAGAAAACACAACAGAATGGAAAAAATCAGAGGTATTCTCAGAAGCCTACTGATCACATCATTAAAATACAGAAAGCCTGACTTTAATTTAAGTACCTCATTTTGAAAACTTGTAGTATTACTGTTGCTTTATCTTTGTAGACAAGAAAACACCATTTTACATTTTCTTAAGCATTTGTAGTAGCAGACATAATTTATATTAAAAAAAACTGTTGACAATGGGAACTCAAAACATCTCTTTTCTATTTGCTAAATATCAGACGGGAGTGACTGCAAGGTCAAGAAAACAAGATGCAATCTGTTCTAAATGGAATGGTATGTATGAGAATAATGTTGATGTTATGGTCCGAGAAGCATTTCTTTTTACTGTAACAGTATATTCTAAACATTTCCCTTTTATTTAAAAAAAAAAAAAACCAACACTTTCATAATTCAATGTTCACAAAACAGAAAATACTCTGGAAAGGTACACTGCACCCAAACTATCTTCTAAGACATTCCTCCAAATAAAAATACAACAAGCCATTGTGCAGAATTGTTTGAGTGAATAAAGTCCTTCAGAGTACTTTCTTTCATTACAGTTCCACTCAACTGCTTGCAAGGAAACGGGAACGCCAGCTAGGAGCTTCTGTCCATAAAAACCATTTTTATGCCATAAGATTTCCCCCCTTCCCTGCCTTGCCTAACTTAACTTCTTCTTAAATTACATTCAGAGTTCGGCGGTTCCGTAACAACTTCAATATGGCAAAGTGTTTCAATACTTTGTAAAGGTTCCATGTCAATTTCCACCTCCAGTTACTGCAGGTTTACATTTTTCATCCTGGCTGCTCTAAGGGATGAACACCTTCACAGTATTTATGTGGGGTCTTACAGCTTTAACATGGGTTCTTGTGAACCACTATATTAAAATGACATTGAGACATATTGAGCTAGCATCTTATATTATAGATATGCAAAAGATTTCCCCACGATTTACCAAGATGTGTCAAACACAATGTGATCTTCGATGGCAAAATAAAAGAGAGCCATGCAACAAGTGATTGTTTGGGCTTTTGAGACTCGTGTGAACCATCTTTCAATCCCATTCATATGAGTACATACACCTCTCAGTTGTGCAGCATAATTTTCAAGTTTAAAAGAGCCCAAAATCCGAAGCAAATCTCATTAAACCTGTTTCTTTTTGTCTCGTATGGGTCAAGATCATGTAAAATGCCAAAACATACTTTTTTTTTCCAGCTGAAATTGTAGACCACTTGTAGTCCACTTGGAATACAGCACAAACTTTCTAAAATAGCCACAAACCATTCTAAGTATTCTGGGTATGTACTGAAGTCTGAATTCACCACATATTGCAAAAGTTCTTTGCAGAGCAATATAACTAAAATTAGAGTGTACTAAGAGAATTTTTATTTTTTCTTATATTTGTCTGTGAAAAAGTTATGCAGTATACTTCAAATTTTGGGTACCTAAAAGAAACTGTTAAGAGGTGTATTAATAGATATTCTAAGCTTAAGTACAGTTTAAGTACTTTATCCTAGAATCCAGTGGATGGCTGGATTTAAAACTTGCTGAATATTAATCTTTAGTTCTTAAGAGCTTTGAATATTTCTTATTTCCACCAAAGCAGGATAATTCAGCTGGTGACCTTATATCAAAGAAGAGTATTTTTTTTAAATACAGAAAATTCTCCAAAATTTTTTACATAATCTCACAAAGTCATACTTATTACATCAGAGGAGAATTTGCAAAGTATCTACATGACATCAAACAATCTATGGTAAGAACATAAGCAAGTTATCTAGGCATGGTAATTTCTTTGGATAAATTTTGTCCATTATATGAGCCAGCAGAAAAACACTAAGGACAAAGTATGGCCAATGATTAATTGTGAGACTGAATGCATCATGTGACTGTGGGTACATGCTTATGCATTATAGTTGTTATACTGGAATCAGTATCTGAAGTGGAGCTTACAAAAAAGAAGAGGATAGACTCTTTAGCATGGTCTATGATGATAGGACAAGAGGAAGTGGTTGCAAACTTAGAGAGGAGAATTAGGTTGGATATAAGGAAGAAGTCTTTTACAGTGAGGGTGCTGAGGCACTGGAACAGGCTGCCTAGAGATGTGATGGATGCCTCATCCCGGGAGACATTCAAGGCCAGGCTGGACCAGGCTCTGAGCAATCTAATCTAGCTGTGGGAGCTCTGGCTCACTGCACAGTAGTTGGACCAGATGACCAGATAAAAAGTCCCCTCCAACTCTAAGAATTCTATGATTGTATGGATGTGTGTGTGCAAGTACACAGACATGTACGTATAGCACATAGCATTCGTATTAATCTTTAAAAAATTAGAACTATTCTGTTAGCTTCCATCTAATTGTTAGCACTAACGCAATCCAGAGCTGTTATGGGAGATAGTCCTAGCTGTCTTAATAGAAAGGATTTGTTAAGTAGGAATTAACTGTTATTTTTTCATGAAATGTTCTACTACTACAACTTCTCTGTGAAATGATGTAGTTTGCATCTGAATCCTACATAAACACTTCAAAAAAAAAAAAAAAAAAAAAAAAAAAAGAAACCCACCCCAAAACAATCCTCAACAAAGAACACAGAGAAATCCCTTTAAATTGGCATTTTTCACGTAATTTTTACAGATTCTTAGATTCTTACCAGCTCTTGTGTATCTTCTGCAAGTGGCAAAAATGTAGCTTCCATAATAGCAACTTGATCAGCGTTGAGTTTCTGCCATAGGCCAATCAGCAAAATCACAAGATGGGTGGCACTTTTCAACTTCGTGAATGCCTGGAACATGTTGGCTTGATTTTCTTCTGCTGCATCTGCTAGAGCTATTACCTGCAATAATTACAAACTTATGTTAAGTATAATTTTACCATCCGTGAACACTCAACACTGAAATTACATTTGGCACACTCTTATTTTCCTTTAGAAGGTCCTGAGGAATTCTGTTTTCCATAAACACAAACCACAGGCTATTAAATGAATTATCATTTATCTAGATTTTTCCTTTGTATACCCAAGGTAATTTCAAGTCCATATGGCAATACAATTAATCTATCTAGTACTACAGTCAACGTCGAAAGGATTCTGTTTAGTGTGTATTCTTGGGGCATTTCTGAAACTGATCCCCACCACACCACATAATACATGATAAACTAACTTTCAGGTTTATACCACACATGATGCTAATCCCTGTATGACCAGGAAGCCTACTGTATTAATCAAAAACAATACGTTGATTTTATTCCATTAAGAATGCAATATATAATTATTTCCACATGAACACAACAGACATCTGTTACTTTATTAACTCCCAGGTCTGTGTTTCGCACTAGTTGTCTCTGCATTTATGCCAAAATGTAAACAGTATGAATCCTGTTTACGACAGCAATACTGATTTAACATAACTGCCACGCAGATTTTGAAATTATTTTATAAAATACAGTAAAATGGCAGATTCATTTCTTGTAAGATGGTAAGATTACTCAGTACTTCGGCACAAAGTGGGGGTTGTAAGTAGAAAAGCTACTACATCCTACTCATTTCAGAAATAACTTCTCATTGTAGATGAGCACTCACACCACTGTGTGACAACGGATGCTGCTGAAAAGCATTGTCAAAAATCCCTTCTTTCTTGAAACGTTTAGACATTTTTCACCACTCACTAATGAAGATGACAGTGATTTCAACATGCAGTTGTCATCATTTCAATACGCCAACAGTAGATTCCCCATGGTACTTGCACTGATTTAATTCAGCTAAAGGTACCAAAGAAAGTTAAGAGGTTTATTGTAGTGTGGGAGCACAATTTACGACACCTCTCTCTTGAATGCCCCAAGATCTTCACGTTGCCTAAACAATCCTTGGTTTGTGCAGTGCAGATTACCTTCTCCGTCATTTAAATTAACTCAAAACACTTCCCCTCATCCACTTTCTCCTTCTGTGTACTTATCTGTGAAATGGGGCAATAGGTGCTTGACTGGAGTTGTGAAAGGCCTCCCAGAAGCACTGCTGAAGTGTAATTAGTATTACAGAAGAATTTACAAAGTAAAACTCAATCCATTAGCATTTGGCAACAACGGGAAAATGAAAATACTATACAATGCATCTTTAGCCTGGAAACAAAGCCAACCAGCTGTTAGCATTTGGTGGAGGAAAACTATTTTTAAATCTGCACCACTGCCATTAGAGATGTGTGTGTGTGTTCCCTCCAAGTTCCCATGTGACTGGGAAGATAAAGGCAACAGAGAATTTTAGGGAACTATAAATATGAAGCATTTCAAACAAAATGTGTTGATAGCTTTTGTTTTAGGTTGTAAAATGCTAAATTTCCAAATAAAACGGAGAACCCACAGGACACTTACAAATTCAAACATTGCATAAATCAGGGGAAGGGAAGAGACAAGTCCAGCTAACTGCACGAAGAAGTGGGAAATGAATCTCTAATAGCAAAAAACAAAATGACCGAAGGTGCTTATAAGAAAGCAATAGTAACACAGCCAGCAAAGCCCTGGTGCTCCATCTACCTCATCATCCTGCAAGAGGTGCAGTTCCACAGCATGGTTACTTTTCTGTGATTTTGTGTGCCAAATTCATCACTGTGGAGCACCCCCACAAGAGCTGCAAGTGACCAGCACAGCCACTGATTGTATACGTTACAAAGCTCCATCTTCACAGAAGACACAAACAACAGCACACAAGTTCTCTGCAGCCAAACAACAGCCTTCAAATATCTTATCACGTTTCCTGTGCAAGATGCATTCAAAAACGTTGGGAATAAAATCCATGTTAAATAAATATATACATGTTAATAAAAATAAATATATATGTTAAGTAACCGTTGGGAATAATGATACAATGAACTTAACATGCTGATGACGTTCCTAAAATACCATTATTAGATGGGATAGCAGAATGGATTAATTCACAGTTTCTGGAAATTGGAATAAAGTTGTATCTTCCTCCTGGATACAAGCTCACCTAATGTCATGTCAGTAAGGCTGAAGAAGAGAGAAAAGTCATTGTGCTTGTGTGACAACTGCTGGAACCCCCGTTACACAACAGAGGTGAAGGACATCCTCTGAGCTGAGTCACTCATGAATTCCTCCATGGCCTCTCACTCGGTCCTGTGCTTAACACTTACACAGTACTGGATACAACAGAAACTAAACAAAGAGAAGTTACTACCTGGTGTCTTACTTCAAGGAGTCTTGACTTCAGAATTTGCATTCTTTCTCTTCTATAACAACAAACAAAGGAGATGCTCATTTCTGATAGGCTATGAGAACTAAAATAACTAAGCCTCATACTCTCTCATATCTTCACAGGGTAGGAACAGAAACATATGGCAAGTGGCAGCCCAACACATAGGTTAAACACAAACAATTAGTCCAAATGAAAACTAGAAACTGTCCATAGTGTATGAGGCCTATCACTGGCTTTGTCTTTCTCCTCATGCTTTAATATCACAGAGCTGCCAAATAAAAAGTTACCTAAAGATATTTAAGTTATGGCAACCTTCTTTTGGAAAGTAATGAAAGTAATGGAAGAAAGGAAGGTGGCAGAAAGAAATAAAAAATCTAAAAGGTATTGAAATGGAAAGTATGGTATTTGTTACATATTTTTACAACTGATCAAAACATATCTTTCATTTACAGCCTTTTTTGTTTAACCTCTTCTCACCAAATTCTCCTTGTGTTCACATCTCTACAGGAAAGCACAGGTCAGTTATTAATTATTAATGAAAGTACATTGTTAAAAAGAAAGAGAGACGTAGAGAAGAACTAATGTCTAAGTTAAGATCATGCTTTTAACAGAGTTTTATTAAGTTTCACATTCACAGCAAAGGTACGCCTGAAGTCTAGAAGTATTTCTGTAATCTCTTAAGAACTTCAGCCATTAGCACTATTACTGATATTCAATTGCAAGTGTTTCCAAGTACGGAGCATTTCTCACATTCTCAGAAGGACTTTCCATACTTATTTCATTCTAAGTAGATCTTTCAAGATTGTCAAGGATTTGAAAACTGCACACTAACGGCGATTCAAGTTTGAAAAATAAGTAAATAAATAAATGCCACATCTCCCCATTATTACCACATAATTAAAGATATTTTGGGGCAGTGCTTTAACATTCACCAGTACTAGAAAAAAGACTGCAAAATACCCAGACAAATTCTCTAAAGCAATCATGAACATGATTACCCCAGGTTCATTCCAAATAAAATTTCAAAAGTACAAAAGACCACACGAAATGACCAGGAAATTTAAGAAATCTTTCCCCCCCCCCCCC